CATTTATCATTTTGTCCTACAAAACATAAATTGCATAGAATTAAGCTGTATTCCAACATTTTAATCAACAATTGCTCATATTTTAACAGTAAAATACGTATGTAAAAATACACTTATCAAGAACAAGCCCTTATATTCCGAAAGTTACATAAATTCATTTTGGATGCCAGTCCAGTTCAAAGCTAATTCTACTGAAAGAGGCCTAACAAAATGTACTACGTTTGGAGGAAGTTAAATCCAGATTTTAATTCTAAGCCAAATCAACAATTAATTTTGGAGGAAGTCAAAATCAAGTTAAAATGTTGAATGAATAATGATTTGATGCAATTTATGTTCAAGATTTTCTCAAGCTTTCACAATCAAATTTATTCGTGAAAATCATACGTGATGGAAGAATTCTTGTCACAGCCATGGAAGTATAGATGCATAGGGTAAACTTTTTCATATCCCTTTCTATTATTTATTTATTTTAATGCTTGATTGTGGGATCTAAATTGTGATACACTTAAAAAGTTTTAATTATAAGTAAATTATTTTCTTCTTGGTCAAAATAAAAAATATGTAATTTACTTATTTAGAGTGTGTTTGATGCACATTAAAATGGAAAGAATGCATTTTTTGTGATGTGATGGTGAATATGTGGTTGAAAAAGAATGAAAAGTTATTGATGTGATTGAAAATATTATTTTATTGAAAAATATGTGATTGGAAATGAGTAGACGAATGATAATGGAAATGAGAATATGACTCAAACAGAGGCTTAATAGTTGTCTTTAAGATACATTCATCACTTTTGAAAGAATGAATTATATGTTTTAGGAACTTTGAATCCTTTAATGATTTTCATATACATCACTATTCCCTGTTTGTTAGAAATTATAATCTAAATTTTTGTTATAATCAAAATCAACAATCAATTTTAACCACATATTTCATGGATCTCACGACTTTTAAACCATATATTTCATCAACTTTTATCAAAATCTGCTAAAAAATTGATTGCAATATCCACGATTATGTTAACTATATTATGTACAAGTAACATTATTCACGTTAGTAAGTCATATGGCAATTGATTTGATATTGCATTTTGAACTTCTAGTCACACCGCCTTGTGCAATTATCATTATGATACATTTTATGCAATTTTATTTCATCTATTTATTTTCTTTTATCCATTGAGAAAATTGTCTTATAGAAATAATAGTTAGAAAATTGTACCGTAACATCTCCCACTAGGTATCAAGATATTTTATATAGGAGATTCAAACCCTATATTTTCCGAACTCTCTTTATGGACCCATCGGAGTTAGGCGTGGTTGAGCAACCAAAATGCCCAAGACTACGCAATTTCGGCTTATATTTCATTCATCGTTTCTATGATTCCATCTTTAAAACTGAGCAAATTTCTTCTGAATTTGTTAGAATAAAGTGCATCTTTAACATATGGTTTTGTATCATTCGATAAGATAATGTTAGCTCTTTCGGAACTTTTAATAATATTCGATGCACCTATGATATCGAATTAGTATTATCTTCTGCTAATGTTAAATTCGAGAAATGTACATCTTGGTGATTTAATTTGAATATTATATTTTCTCCTTGAGAGAATCGTGATAAGTTCGACTAGGCTTTTAAAAACAGATAATTAGATTAAATTGATTTATTTTGCTTATTACCAATTCTTTAACTTTTAATTATATATCCACGAGAGCCCGTGAAGAACGATCACAAAATACATATCAAAACTCAATAAAATAAAAAGTGGGTGCTAGAATTTGTCGAGTGAGTTGTATAATCATAACTGTCCTAAATGAATTTTGGGTCTTGTTCGATTGTGATTCTGTCGTGAACTACTGTTAAAGTTAAACCCCTATAAAATAATATTAGTGGGACCCAAAAACATTATTACATTAGAAGGTGTTTAATTTATCAATAAATAATTATTTATTAATTATTAATGCATTACGTGAAATCATTTTTAATCAATGCTTCAAAATGCGATACACGATGAGCACTTCTCAAATTATCTTGGGGTCCGTTTGATTGTAAAGCTAGAATTTTGGTGGAAAGAAAATAAATTATAGGGAATTGAATTGCCTAAAATTTGTTTTACCGGGAATTATAATTAATTGTATTTGATTGGTATAATTTTTCACCTGGAAAATGTTGAAATTTTGGATCTTTTGGTATTCGTTTGACTTTGTTTTCCATGAAAATTGTCCATTAAAGAGAAATTTTTTTTACAATTGTCCATAGAATTGGTTTTCCTTGAAAACCAAGAATTTGGTGAAAAATGAAGTAATGTAGAAAATGAATTTTATGGAAAATTTAACCTATCAGACAGACTAACAGGTGGAAAATGGAAAACGAATTCCAACTTCCCTAGAAAATTGGGTGCTATCAAGCAGGCTCTTAGTAAAAATAATATGGTGATAAATATTTGTGAATACACTTCAAAAATGATCATGATTTAGATGATAGGTGTGTTTTACAATTATTTTTTTCGAAAGAAGCGTTTCAAGTGTTAAGCATTGTGATTTTAAATAATTACCTTTCATAATGAAAAGTATACCAAATGTGGTACATGCATTGGCAAAAATTAGGAATCATGTAGAGTTCGATTGAGTACAAAGAAAGAGGAAGTAGCTATAGGTGCATATTTTTCGACAAAAAAAATAGAAGTTGTCAAGTAAGATGTTCCTTGATATATATTATAAAATTTTATGTATTTAACCAATATTTATTTTATACTTTCATTGGATACTAAAGGATTTTAAATAAAATTATATTTTAAGCATTTAACCAGATTATTAATTTAGTACACTGGTCTGAGTCTGGCTAATAAATTTTATTATTTAAGTGATGTTATTAATTTAAACTTAGTGTATGTTTAGCAAAGTTTAAATTATAATTTAAATTTGTCAAACATAATTTTTATACATACATTTTGTAGGACCCAAAACTAATAATTTATTATGTTTTAAGTTTGAGAGAGATTATTTGAAGTGAAAAAATAATTTTTGAAGAATGTTGGGTTAAAAAGTGTAGGAAAATTGTTTCAATATTGGATACCGGATTCGCAGTAGAAGATTCAATAACTTTCAATACAATGGATTCAAATATACACAACAGATTTAATATACTAGTA